TAGAAGGGGACATTTCATCCAATATTTCATCTATAAACGTTAATAAATGTATTTTTTCCTATTCTTTTCTAAATGTTTTAAGATAATAAATCTTAGGTCGCTCCTTTTTTTATTTCTTTGTTTTTCTTTCATTTTGTTACTATTTTTTAAAGTGTTATTTTAAAATTTCTCCTATAAAATCATATAAAAATTCAAAATTTTTTATATTATATTAAAACAAATGAAATAAAAAAATTCTAAAAAAAGAAATAACAAGGTAATGGCAAAATAGGAAAAACGGTATTCAAAAAATAGGAAAAAAATACATTTATTAACACTTACGAATGATGTGTTGGATGAAATGTCCCCTCTCAGTCATTACAACAAAATGTAAGGACCTCTGCTGCCTTTTTGAAAATAGAGGGACCTGAGAGTTATTTCAACAAAACTCGCGTCACCTGCGAGTAATTTTCTGTATTATTGGACCTTTCCTTTTTGCTTTATTTTGTTGATTATTGGGCGAGACTACTTCGAGTTTTTTATGCTGGATTTTTGCACCAATTTCTGTTGCTTTTTCTTGATGGCTTGCTATGGTGCGTGACCTGTGATCGTTCAATGTGGTGGCCAGTTAAATTAAATTGGTATTTTGGTCTGATATTTCATATGAATGCACTAGCAGTCCAATGCCCATGGGTGATAATGGTTTGGACCTGATGTTTGTACTCTTGGAAAACTACTGTCTGGATTACCCCTAGGAAAGCTGATGTTTTGACCTCCAACCTGCCCAACTACTTTGCTGTGTGCCTGGGCAGGAAATTGGAACTGAAAAGGTTTGCTGGAGCCGCTGTTTTGACCTGCAATGGACTGAAATTTACGTGCTGCTGAAATTAAGGCTATTTCCTGTGATTTGGACAGTGACAACCTCTTCACAGGTGGCCTTTTTCTCACGGAATGCTGCTGAATTTTAAGGGTTTTTGTGTTGGGTTTGGGCTGTTGATATATCCAGAACTTTGAGAATTGCTTGGGCAACATATGGGTTGGAGTTTGGAGCTGTAATTGCTGCTGGGTTTACTCCCGTTATCCCTGGTTTATCTTACTTTTGCTCCCTTAGCTCCATATGCTATTGTCACTAATGATGCCCCTGAGGTTCTTACCTCTGCTAATGGAAATGGCAAGGAAGCCTGCACTGAGCCAACCACCAAACAGGAC